AGACATGCCTACTCGGTCTCATGAATATAAAAGCCTTGAGCCAACCCAGGACAAAACTACACACTCATTGAACTCATCAAGCCAATAAAGTGATGGATAGATAAACAAGTTTATCATACCAGCAAGGAGGGGAGTGTTACCAGAGGTTTTCACTTGCTTGAATCCTGTATAGATTGCAGCACCCTGGATAGATATACTGACAGTCAGAAGAGGGACAGGGTTGAGAAACATCATGAACAATTCACCTTTCGCAATTAGCATTACAATGGTAGTGAAAGCATCAGAGTGTTTTAGTTTGTAGGGAACAGTAGTTAGTTTTAGACTAGATGCTTTAAGTTATAATTAATGATAGTTTATAGTTAAAAAATCCAAAATGGTGGACACACTGACTTCCTATTAGGAATTCTCAAGATGGAGGAATAGCTATGATTTCAGAACAGAAGCTGATTGGCTGAACAAGTTGCCACCCACACAGGGAGCTTGAAAGGTCAACCAATCAGACTGAATATAAGACTGGTCAGAAGTAGGCTTGGTGTGGTGGTTGAGAGGGAGAAAGTGTGGAGAAGAGCCAGAGGAGAAGAGAAGATCGAGAAGACAACCAGGGAGGCAGTAGTGCGGAGTGGAGAGTGGAGACAATTACAACAATACCATCCAGGAACAGACGGATCAGAAGGAACCCTGCCGATCAGAGAGATTGAGAAAAGAATGAGTAAATCTGATTCCTTGGCTGTTTTTAAAGGCTGCTTGTGTGTGTCTGTCAATAAAGCCGGACGCCGGCTTCTGAGTGTGACCAACCTCACCCCATCCTGTGAGCAGCAGGCCCCTGCTTGTAGAATGGTAATTGTTAATTGTTCAAGGTTTCGTTAATGCTATGTTGTAGTGCTGTTTTATGCATATGCATTGGGCATTTGTTTGTTACATTGTAATAAGTCCAATGTTATTATATTGGAGACCTTATGCATATATATTAAAAGTTCAGTGTATACCAACTTGCAATATTGTATTTGTCTCAGTCTGTGTAGTCTCTTGTACCACTTAAATATATGATTTTGAACACTAATCTAATTGTGCCTTATTACTTATGATACATTGTAATTTTTTCCTTTCTTGCTTTACCTATTATACATTGCAATTTCTTTTTTTTCTTTCCTGTGTTACTGAATATACTGTAATCACCTAATTTTTCCCCTCAATAAATAAGATTTTGTTTTCGAAGTATTACTGCTTGTATGTCTATTCTTGATCAGAGGGCTGTATCTGTGTCCTTTCAAGAGTTAGCAGAATTAGCCTGCTCTGGGGAGTCCTCTGCGGGTCGGAGACAAACCCCCTGGTAATACTCTGGCAATTCTTTTAGGGCAGATCACCACTTTTCTTCCCCATTTGGATAGACAAGCCAGTACTGGGATACCGTAAGTCCAAATAGCGAGGTAACAAATTGGCGTCCCTGGGTAGGCTCGTGCTAGTTTACCTAGCTGGATGTTAAAGGTATAGCACTCCCTATTGGAAACAAAAAGCAATAGATAGACAAGCTGCTATGAAGTTGGTCATTTCAGCTGCAAAAGAGGAAAAAAGAATAAATCATTTAGCCTGCAGAAGACAAATTCATGCACTAAAGGAAGAATTGAAAGCCAGCAGAGGAGCCATAACAGCAATAAAGTCCCTAGAGTGGTGAAATCAGATGAAGAAGATATGGTTCTCCTTGCGATGATGAGAATCCCAAAGAGTCCATTCCAGAATTTTAGTCCACCGAGGGAAGAGCCAGAAGAATATCAAAGGCCACCTCCTGTAGCTCCAATTATTACCTCCACAGTAACCAAAACTACTACTAATGGAAACAGAGGGGGTACAGAAGAGAGGGTAGAGGAAAGACCCTATGCCCCTGAGCAAATTAGAGCTCTAGGAAAATCCATGGGTCCTTTGAACAGGAACACAGTTATCAGATGACTAGCTAAGACAACAGGGATACTTGGATTAACAGGAAATGATCTCTCTGCGTTAATAAAAGAGTGCATAAATTCAGATGAATTTGCTGAGCTTCCTTATGATATCCAGGGAGGAGGAGAAGGTGATACTGATATAATAGGTAAAGAAATCTTGAAGTTTTTCTTTCCTGGAGAAGATCCAGTGGTATGGTTTCATCAGGAAAAGCAACAATCAAAGGAAAGACCTGAACCATACATAGCTAGAAAGAATTTATTATACAAACATGCAGGAATAATCCAATTAGGATATCAATTGATATATGATTCCCCACAGTATAAAAGAGCATTAATACTAGGATTTGATCTAATGATCAGAATGGCGATGGTCTCTGACGATCCTTCACATACCCCCCTCCACATTATAGAAGATAAAGTGAAAAGACTATATGAAATACAGCGGGAGACAATGCCACCTCCGAAATTACTTCAGAAAAGAAAACCTGAGAAAGTATCAGTAATAACTTTCTCTAACAATAGCCCCAGAGGACAAGGAAATCAAAGTCAGCAAAATAGAGAAAGAGTAAAGCAAGAAGAGAATAGGAACAGAAAGTTCGTTCCTCATGAATCAAGAAAAGGTGATCCAGGAAGAAATTGGTTATGTGGAGAATTGCTGCAGTATGACCCTAATAACAAATTCATGGGCTTCCTACAAAAGAACTACTTTGAAGACTGGTGAATCATAAAAGGAGCATGCTGACGGCTCCACCTCACCCTCCAAATCAAGCGTAGGGAGGCTGAGCGCCCCCCATCTCCCCAATACTGGAAAAAGAAGATCACGCTAATGTAGTGGCACATTTACAAGCAGATGACTGGGGGAGACCCACTGTGTATATGGAGTTCAATAGGGGAGCATTCAGACAAAATATGTTAATAGACACAGGTGCCACATTTTCTTCAGTTAGTACAAAGGATAAGAATTTATTTGGACCTCCTGTAATAGTCAGGAAGCTGCAAGGATTTAATGAAGCAATGAGTAGAGTACCATTTAGTGCTCCAGTTCATTTTCAATTAGGGAGGAAGAAAAAGGTAAAGAACAGTTTGGTATGATGAATTTAGATGGTGATGGAATAATTGGTGTTGATGTATTAGGTAAGCTTGAGGTAACAGTAGATTTGGTAAATAAAGTATTATGGGAAATACCGTCAATAAGGCCAGAACAATAGATCTATCAATTGTTATTGAGGCAGGATATAGGTTAGCTGCTATCAAAGCAGCAGAAGAAATAAAATGGGATGATTGGCCAACAGAGGTTCTGGAAATAGCACAAAAGTATAAGGAAGTCTGGACAACCAGTAAGGCAGAATGTGGAAAAATAGAAGCCGAAGTCTTGAGCACTGGACCAGATCCCCCACTTCAAAGACAGTATAAATATCCTAAGGAGGCAGAACGTAGTTTAATGAAAACTATCCAAGGGCTTTTAGAATAAGGTATTATAGTTGAACAACAGAATACCAATAATGCAGCTATTTGGCCAGTTTTAAAGGCAGATAGTAAAACTTGGAGACTATCTATCGATCTTAGGCCTCTTAATAAAGTGACTCCAATGACAGCTCCAGTAGTGGCAAAGTATCCCAAAGTAATTGCCTCTATTATCGGAGGAGCATGATGGTTCACTGTTTCAGATTTAGCCAATGCATTCTTTGCAATTCCTTTGCATCTGGACTCCTGGTACAAGTTTGCCTTTACATTCCAAGGAAGACTGTTTTATTTTTGTCGATCTCCATAAGGTTTCCATAACAGCCCTGCTATCTGCCATATGGACGTGAACAAATATGGGATAATATGCCTAATAAAGATAACAGCATATTATATGTACATAGTATCCTTATAAGCACAAAAACTAAGTAAGAGAATTTAGAAATTTAGAAAGAGAATTAGATCACGTATTACACAAAATAAAGGAAACAGGGTTTAAGGTTAGTCCAGAAAAAGCTCAAATATGCCAACAGCAAATAAACTACCTAGGACTAACGTTAGGACAAAAGGGACAATCACCAGATAAACAATGGGTAGAATTATTGCAAAAATTACCAGCCCCCAGAGGCATATCTACTTTAAGATCGTTTTTGGGTATGACAAGACAAATTTCTCAAGAGAATTATGCAGAGAAAGCCAGCCCACTGTCTAAGTTATTTAAAAAGGGTAATAACTGGGAATGAGGATTAGAACAGCAGGAAGCTTTTATGCAGCTTAAGAAAGCATTCGCACAAACCCCAGCTTTAGCATACCCAAAAGTAGGACAACCTTTTATGCTCCAATTGGCTAGTACCAGTACTGGAATGAGTGCTGTATTGAGTCAAGACCATGGAACAGGTCTTCGACCACTGGCATATGCCTCTAAGGTTCTGAATTGAGTGGAACAAGAATTTATTCCTTGTGAGAAAGAGGTATTAGCCTTGGTTTGGATTTTGCAACATTGAGTGTATTTAGTAGGACTATCTCCAGTGCTTCTTAAGACATCACATTCACCTGTGAAATATGTATTAACAGGAAAAATTAATGATGGACATGTTTCTAGTCCTAGATTAGCAAAATGGACGTTAGCCATGCTAAATAAAAATGTAACAATGGAAAAGGTCCCAAGTTTATCAACAGTTTCGTATGGTCTTATAATTGAAGGAGAATAGCATCAATGTCCCCTACCAGAAATGGACCAGTAATGGGATACCTTAATTCCAAACAGTGGGGTAACACCATTATCAACTGTCCTGCTTATCCCACACCTGCCTTTACTTCCCCTGCAAATTAGTCTCTCTTATAGAAAAGAAATGCTGCCCTTTTAAATTCATACGCTTAATATATATCCCACACCATGATTTTTTTAAACAAAGATACTTTAAAAAAAAGCAGATACAATCCGTACAACAGCAGACATATTATGGACTCAGTCATAAAGGTGTCATTCAGGAAACTTCAGTGGGGCTACTCCACTGAGTGAGAGAAGCAGGAATAGTCCCTCAGTTAGAGGATAAACTCTTCAAGACTACGAATAGGGACATTCCCAAAACAAACAAATGACAAAGTAGAAAACAAATTTTATTGGAGGAAGAAAATTGTCTAAAAGTCTCCCGTTTTTTGGTTAACAAAAGCAGCAAACCACAAAATACCCTGCATTCCGTGACAAGAGTTCATGTCAACAAAATTAATCCTTGAGCACATCATTTGTATATAGAATGTTATAACTGCTAAAATGTTTTTGGGCAAACAAAGTTATATTAGTCCAAATATAGGTGCTTTACCTGGAAACCTGAAAAATATAAATTGTTTGCTGACAGATATACTGTAGGACTGCTAGCATTTTTTGGTACTTAATAGTGTCACCCCTCATAGAAAAATTAACAAGTAAAAACACTAAGAAATTTGGAGACACAATGAAGGAAAAGAACAGCCAACAGGCCAAAGTGTGTTCAGCTTGGTCATCAGCAAATTCAACTTCATTTTTATTTAAGAAGCCTGTGGAAAATGAAGCGAATTCAATGCTAACAAAGGTGCTGTAGTCAGAAGTCCACTACTTTATCTACACAACAGGCAGAGGAGGGGCAACAGCACAAGCCCACCCTACAGTTGTGCCTCAAGCCTGACCCAGAGTAATGCCATTTTCCCTGTACAATCCATCTCAGGCTTTTCAAATACAATAGCACTAATTGGTACCAGTTGGCAAAATATAATTATTTTAAGGGACATGGACACTAGTCCACTGGGAATTAGACTGAGACCACCCACTCAGTTAAGTTTGACAAGTTTTTTTGTATTACAATATTTCTAATTGACAGTGGCAGCCTTACTGAATTTAAAATAAAAATAAAATGTTAAAAAGGAAGGAAATGTTTTACCCTTATATAGTATGCAGAATAATCAATCACTTTGGAAAGTCATAAGATATAAAGTTTCATGCTTTGAATACTTTTCAATGCTGTTTGTTTACATAAATGGCTTTAAACACAATTTGTTCTTTTGTTTTCACGGTCCCAAATGCAGTTCAATTATTTGAAGTAACAGTTTGCTTATTATATTTACGCTGATTACAAAGTACAATAATCTGTGCTTATTTGTTAGTTTACATGTCTGATGTCACCCATCACAACCATACACAGGCGTATGTATTTAAATAACTATGAGATTGCATTTTATACCATTTCTATTCATATGTACTCTAGGCTTAATAAACTCCTACTATGTCTTAGCAAAACTTTAGTACACCAGCTGTGCTGTACTAAAGTTAATTTCTATCATTCCCATCATAATCAGTATAACTCTGATATCCACTGTTCCTCCTCTCAGGAAGATTATACATCTTCTTCCACATGGACTCCTGATGGAAACCAGCACTGAAAGATCTACCCAGATGTCCATGCTGTTTCTTGGTGATATTGTCTTCGCTTTCAGATTTGGCAATTCCCTGTGCTTGTGGTTGCATATCTCGTCTAATGTTTCCAAATGGGAAGTTCCAAGGACCAAACCTTTGCCAGTTAAGTCTCTGAAAAGCAATGATACAATGCAGGTTTCCTCCTACCTAACAAAAGGTAAAAAGCGTTTTGTTAAAATGTGTGCAAAGAAAAGTACTTAAGTATTATTTATGAAAATATTTTGAATATTTATGTAACAAACTGCTTTAGTTTAGTTTCTTCAACTCTTTTACTAGTTCCCTTCCTAATCTTCTACACAATACTTAAGTTTCCCTATCTAGCATTCACAAGCCAGCATAATCCAGCTTCTGCCTACCTTTGTTAGCCTTTACACTCTCCACCCAAAATGCACAACTACCAGAGTGTTTCTGTCCTCTTTCTACTCATCTTCAGATTTTCTTCCATGCACCCTTCCTTGCACCTAGAAGAGAGGGTTACTCACCTTGTGCAGTAACTGAGGTTCTTTGAGATGTGTGCCCCTGTGGGTGCTCCACTTCAGGTGTGGGTACATCCCGACGCCGTTGATTGGAGATTTTCGGTAGCAGTGCTCGGACAGAATGCGCATGCGCAGTAGCTGTCTTGCGGCGCCACTGGAGTCTCCTTTAGTGCATGCACGGCCTGACCCCCTCAGTTCCTTCTCTACCGTAGAGTCCTTGTATCGAACTCCAAAGTAGAGGGGAGGAGACTGGGTAGTGGAGCACCCACAGGGACACACATCTCGGAGAACCTCAGTTACTGCACAAGATGAGTAACCCTCTCTTCTTCTTCGAGTGCTGTCCCTGTGGGTGCTCCACTTCAGGTGACTGTAGAGTAGCATCCACAAAGGGGGACTTTGAAGTGACTTGCATAGTGGAGGAGAGGACCGTTAGGCCTACTATGGCATCAGCTCTTGAGGCTTATATAACTGCATAGTGGTTAGTGAACTTATGTTCTGAGGCCCATGTAGCAGATCTCTGAAATGGGTACATTATTTAGAAATGCAATGGATGCTGCCATGGATCGTGTAGATGCTGCAATGGATCTGACACCCATTGGGGGTTCTGTCTTATACGTTTGATAACATAAGCAAATGCAGCTCGAGATCCACTTAAATGGTCTATGTTAGGATATAGCAGAGCCCTTAGATCATTCCGTCATTGAGACGAAGAGCCTTGGGGATTTGCAGAAAGACTTTGTTTTGTCCAAATAAAAGGCTATAGCTTGTCGAACATCGAGGGTATGCGACATGGCCTCCTGTGTGTTTCTGTGTGGTTTAGGATAGAGTGTAGGGAGGTGAATAGGTTGATATGGAAGGTTGAAGCTATTTTAGGGAGGAATTCTGTTCTGTCATCTGGTACCACTGAGAACAGTCTAGATCCATCCTCTTTGGAACCCCCTTTCAGGTAGTTGAAAGCAGCTATCAAATCCCCCCTCATTCTTCTCTTCTGCAGACTAAACAATCCCAGTTCCCTCAGCCTCTCCTCATAAGTCATGTGCTCCAGACCCCTAATCATTTTTGTTGTCCTCCGCTCGAATCTTTCCAATTTTTCCACATCCTTCTTGTAGTGTGGGGCCCAAAACTGGACACAGTACTCCAGATGAGGCCTCACCAATGTCGAATAGAGGGGAATGATCACATCCCTCGATCTGCTGGCAATGCCCCTACTTATACAGCCCAAAATGCCGTTAGCCTTCTTGGCAACAAGGGCACACTGTTGACTCATATCCAGCTTCTTGTCCACTGTAACCCCTAGGTCCTTTTCTGCAGAACTGCTTCCTAGCCATTCGATCCCTAGTCTGTAACAGTGAATAGGATTCTTCCATCCTAAGTGCAGGACTTTGCACTTGTCCTTGTTGAACCTCATCAGGTTTCTTTTGGCCCAATCCTCTAATTTGTCTAGGTCCCTCTGTATCCTATCCCCTACCCTCCAGCGTATCTACCACTCCTCCCAGTTTAGTGTCATCTGCAAACTTGCTGAGAGTGCAGTCCACGCCATCCTCCAGATCATTAAGGAAGATATTGAACAAAACCAGCCCAAGGACCAACCCTTGGGGCACTCCGCTTGAAACCTGCTGCCAACTAGACATGGAGCCATTGATCACTACCCGTTGAGCCCGACGATCTAGCCAGCTTTCTATCCACCTTATAGTCCATTCATCCAGCCCATACTACTTTAACTTGCCGGCAAGAATACTGTGGGAGACCGTATCAAAAGCTTTGCTAAAGTCAAGGAATAACACATCCACTGCTTTCCCCTCATCCACAGACCCAGTTATGTCCTCATAGAAGGCAATTAGGTTAGTCAGGCATGACTTGCCCTTGGTGAATCCATGCTGACTATTCCTGATCATCCTGGGTCCGGTGGACAGTCCAAAGGGGAGTAACCTATACTGGAAATGGTCATGTCCAACTGTGAATCGGAGGAATCGTCTGTGAGCTGGGTGTATAGTAATGTGGAAATACGCGTCTTGTAGTTCGAGGGCTGAAAAACAGTCCCCGTTCCAGCACTGGGATTATTGTACCTAATGTGAACATCTTGAATTTGTGGGAGCGTATGAATTTGTTGAGTTTCTGTACATCTAGTATGCGTCGCCATCCTCCATTTTTCTTCTGGGTCAAAAAATAGTGGGAACAGAAGCCCTTCCCTCTGTATTGTGTAGGTACTGGTTCCACAGAACCCAGATGAAGTAGATGATCTATTTCCTGCCTTAAGAGGTGCTCATGAGAAGGGTTCCTGAAGAGGGAAGTGGGTAGGATAGGGGGACAAGAAATAAAGGGGATGGCATAGCCCGACCTTATGATTTCTAAGACCCAACCATCTTGCATGATGCACTCCCATGCATGGTAGAAGTGTCTCAATCGGTGGCTAAATGGGCAAAATGGCACAGCTGTGAGGGGGAGGTCATTCAGACCCTCGACCAACCTTTCAAAACCATTGCTTGTTAGGTGGTGGTTGTAATGCCGCTTGTTGAGGTTGTGAGGGTTGGCGCCTCGGAGATCTATTTCTCTGTCTGTTGGACTCATATGGTCTGGACTGTGGATGGTTGAACTGTGACTCTCTGGCATAGTGGTAAGGCTGGTAGCACTCTCTCTTAGTAGGAGGTGTGTAGATGTCCAGTCACATGTGAGTCTTTCATAGAGTGGAGTACCTCATCGGTCTTAGATGAGAACAATTTATCTTTGTCAAAGGGGAGGTCTTCCACCTTAATTTGCAGCTCTTTTGGGATGCCAGATGACAAGAGCCAAGATGCTCTGCGCATTACAATAACGGTGGCACGTGCTGCCATATTGGCAACCTCCAGGGAAGCTTGTAGGGCAGTCCTGGGTACTAGTTGTCCCTCAGTGAGCAATGTCTTGAATTGTGCTCTTTTACCTTCAGAAAGGTCGGTCATAAACTCACATAACTTCCGGTAATTGTCAATCATATTTCGCCAGAAGGGAACTGTAGTTAGTGACCCAGGATTGTAAAGTGGATGAGGTGTGGACCTTTCATCCTAAGAGGTCTAGTCTCTTGTGGTCTTTGTCCTGAAGTGTGGATCTGGACTGGGGTTGTTTGGAGTGGGTGGAGTGGATTGTTTGGAGTGGGTGGGAAAAGAGAAAGTCCATTCCCTTGGCCGGCACATAGTATTTTCTATCAGCTCATTTGCATGTGGGAGGGCTGGTGTCTGCCATACCATTTCAGCGGGTTCCAGAACTGCATCGTCTATTGGCAGTGCAATTTTTGAGGAAGAGGAAGGTTGCGAGATTTTGAGCAGCTTACGTTGGTTTTCCTGGACCTCCTCCAACAGGATGTCCTGGCTTAGTGCAATTCTTTTAAAGAGGTCTTGAAATTGTTTGAAGTCATCTGTCATTGTAGGTGGAGGTGGCGTGATGGCCTTATTGGGGGAAGAAGAAGAGTTGTGCGTTGGCGACACATCCTCAGGGCCCGTTTCTTCCTCTGGCTCCTCTGTAGTCTCCTTTGGGGCTATGGATGTTGTAGCCACTGGAGATAATGGAGGAGACTGAAGTTCACCTCTGGGTGGGGATAAGGTTCTGGCATAGTGGGCTTTGTATGCTGCCCAAGAATTCTATGGCAGCCACTGCATGGGAAAAGCCATGGAGGGACACATCCATGGTTGTCCGTACAATGGATATGGTGGTTGACCATGGTGGCTTTTAGATCTCAGTGTACCCCCAGCAGGTCTGTGGTGAGTCAGGGAAGAGTGTTGTGGGGAGAAGACTCCTCCATCCCGGTCCTCATCATCGCTGTCACTGGATACAGATGGTGCCATGGGGGAAGTGGGCTGCATAATGACACTCCTTGTTGGCAATCCATTGGAGCCAAGGAGTGCTGATTGGGACACCAATGATAAGGAAATTGCTGCAGTGCTGGTGGATGCGGTGCTGAAGGTTTAGTTGCAGCTGAAAGGTGTGCAGCCATCTTGTGGCTAAATTTTGTAAGTGCCAGTGGGCCCATCGCAGCACTATCAGTCGGTGCCGGCAGAGGCGGCGGCGACGAGCATGGCAGTGGCGCAGATTTTGTGGTTGGCACCGGAGGTGGCGGCATGGTCGGTGCTGTGTCCGCTGCGTGTGCTGGCGTGGTCAGTGCCATGGAGAAGACATGGCTGTGCCTATGTCTTGACTCCCTGCCCTTTGCTTTGGCCTCAACAGCATGGTCCGTGACGGAGGTGCTGGGGGAGTTGTAAGTGCTGACTTTCGGGGTCGTCGGCACCGAGGCTAATGACCTCACAGGGGACTGTTTCTTTTTATGCGGATCCCTCTGAGGAGAGGTCGATGCTCACTTCCTCTTTACATGAGAGGACAGAGCTGTGCTCTTCGTCGGTTCCGACCTTGTCAGCGAGCACTTAGGGAGAGGTTTCGGTTGGTCCTTTTCTGTACCTGGCTGGAGTGACTTCTCCATGAGAATCATTTTGAGGCAGAGGTCCCGGTTGCGTCAGGCTCTCGCCTTCAGGTTGTTACAGTGAACGCACTTTTGGGGTATGTGTGATTCACCCCGACATCTCACTCAGAGAGAGTGTCCATCAGATCGTGGCATTGTTTCTCAGCAGAGCTGCATCTTTTAAAGCCAGGTGAGCTCGGCATGTTTCGAGGCATGCTCCAAAAGGAGCAGGGAATGGGAGAAAAAACTTTTTTTTAAAAACAACTAACTGCTAATTAAGCTAACTAGGAACTATAATAAACTCATCTAAGGTATCTAACTACTATTTTTCTTTCTTTACTATCTGCAGGGGAAGAAGCTGCCGCACTGCCCCACGCTCATCTTCAGCAGAGGTCGGTTGAGAAGGAACTGAGGGGGTCGGACCATGCGCATACTAAACAAGACTCCAATGCGCGTCCCGACCAAGCACTGCTACTGAAAATCTCCGATCAATGGACACCTGAAGTGGAGCACTCACAGGGACAGCGCTCGAAGAAGAACTATCTCCTCAACCCATTCCACCATGTTTCAACCCTCTCTGCCTTCAAGTCCAGTCTTAAAATTCAATTCTTCTCAGAGGCCTAGTCCTCCATAAGAAAGAAAAATTACATAAATAAAAGCCATGGAACAAATGGAGACACATGCACTGTACTTTATCTCCTGATTACACCATGCTATACTAAATGAACAAGGAGGTCACGCAATCAAGTTAATGTCAGGTAAATTTAAAAATCAATTAAAAAATTCAGTATTTCGCGAAGATAAAATCCAGCTGCACTAACAGAGTATGACATTCTATACCTTGGGGGAGCGTCCTGGAAACCCCATATTCCACATTTTTATATAATCGTGATCTTACATATAAAGCATGCCTTGTAAGATATTAGGGGAAAAGTTATGATCTGCTGAAAGTCATTTCTCTATCCATATATGTATATCATTAATGCATATGAAGTTATGAGAATTGTGTTAAATGGTTGTCACTAAAATATGCTGTAAGTTGGGGCATCAGCCAGATATTAGCTCCCCAGAGGCAACAGCAAGGAAAGTAACCAACACCTGGGCGGGGTGTCAAACAACCCATCAACAACCATTGTGCAGCAAGGGAGCTACAATTCAATGACTCACATGCATGAGGCCACACCAGGGGAATTGCTCAACCTTGCCTGGAGACTCAGCAATGCCCCCAGACATGCCTGGACGTGTGCTCCCCAAGCACATGGGCCTGAGGTTATAAAACAGAACACAGTGGCCACATGCTGAGCCTTTCTCCTACTCCCACCTAAGCTGCAAGCAGCAAGGACACTCTGAAGACTCCAACTGAAGGGACTGGCCAAGATTTCAAGGGTGAAATCTGTGTATTATGAACTGCAATATCCTGTGGGGTGAGGAAAACTGCTTAATCTAGATGTTGCCCTGTTTAATAGGGTTGAGAGTTTAGACTGTGTGCTTATATTTTATTTTATTTTGGTAACTAACTCTGACTTTTTGCCTATCAGTTATAGTCACTTAAAATCTATCTTTTGTAGTCAATAAATTTGTTTAACTGTTTATCTTTACCAGTGAGTTTGTATGAAGTGTGTGGCAAATCTGCTCAGGTTTTGCAAAGGCTGGTGTATATCTACTTTCCATTGATGAAGTGGTGAACCAATTAATAAATATGCATTGCTCATCTTGAGCAGTGCAAGACAGTATATTCCTGAGGTACAGTGCTGGGAGGATTTGGCTCTGGTGCCTTTCTCTGTGAGATTTATGAGTGTCTCTGGGAGCATTCATGCAATCTAGCCGAGTGTGTGGGGCTCCACATGCTGTTGTGCTGAGTGATCACAGCACTTAGAGGGGCTTCCTGCTTGTCACTAGCAAAGCATTGTGAGAGACAGCCCCAGCTGGAGAGAGTTAAGGGGGCACAGCGGTCCCACAGTACCCGGCAGCACCCCAGGGATCTCGTCACACAGGGACTGGGTAATTGTATGCCGCAAAAAAATTACACCATAAAATGAGATAGGATATCAAAGATGAAGGGCCAATAACCTGGACTGGCATATCCTACATCCTGCAAGGCAGACCTAAACTCTTGTGCTCTGCAGTGTCTCTTTTAGCATCTATATTTGGTTTTCTGAATTTCCGCAGTATTCCCTCTCAGCAGAAGTTATAATTAATAGATTAAGAGATTCCAAGGTCAGAGGGGACCACCGTGATTATGTAGGCTGACCTCCTGCATAACACAAGCCATAGAACTTCCCCAATAATTTTCACTGCTTCGGGCATGGCAGCCACAGGATTTGAACTCTGGACCTCTAACACTGTAGAAAACTTCACCAGAAAAGTTAAATGACAGCTTCTTAGGTACAGTGAAGAATGAATAAGCTTGTTGGGAAAAAAAGTCTAATGTAAAAGTTCTTTCCCCCATCTTAATAAGTCAATATTACCTTCTTTGTTTTTCTATACTGCAGACCCCTCTCCAGGTGTCGAATGTCTAAGTATTCTGGATTTTGAGTGTTCAGGTCGGTAACAATATCTACCCACCTACAAAATAAAATGGACTAACATGTAGAAGAGATCACAAAACCCATTCACCACTAAAATTTATGGAACTACACAAATAATTCATTTCTATAATTTTTAAATGATACACATTTACCTGTGGTAGAAAAACTGAGATTTGATTGAGCACATGAAAAAAAATCAATATTAATATTAAAGACTTGAAGTTGTGACATACAATTTAAGTTTTAATAATACCTAGACAGTACCATGAACATTACCACTATTCACTGCAGTGGAGGACGGTGCACAAAATAAGTGACAGGGCTGCAGATAGCAAAGTAAAAAAACTGGGACAACATTTTACAGTAAAAAGTAGTGTGGAAAGAAAAATATTTATCCCTCTGTGTCTCTGTTCTTAGTCCCAACCTCTCCCTCTCTAATCTGGCTTTTACCCCAGGATCCCCATATCCCTGTTCTCTCACAACCTCAAATCAAAGACTTCATTCCTCCCTGTTCTCAACTCTGCCAAGTCACATTTTCTTCCCACAGCCCCTTAGCGCCTTCCAGCCAAACCCCCATCAACTCAAACACCTCCCAGCCCCAACACCTCTCTATAACCAGGCTGAGGGGCAGGGCCGGCTCTGGCTTTTTTGCCG